CCCCCACATTGTTCCATTTTTATAGCCGTTTTATGCGTTATAATGGCTAAATGCGTGATAATACGTAGTAAAGTATGAAAACCAAATCTGTTCACAATTGTTGGCTTGAAAAATTTCATAGCATTTCGACAACATTGCAAATTTTTTAGAAACTTGTAATTCAAATGTGAAGGGGAGTGGAAAAGAGCCCTAACGTCTTGAATAGACACACCTTGGTTAGATAAACTACTATTCTGGGCCATTGGTCCTTTTGGCTTGACTGCCCCCCTTCAGATGGTTTTAGAACTAACCTCTTGAAGATGTAGATAACCGAGGCAGTGCAGAAAAGGAGTAACAATGAAAGAGAGACCCCTGAGAGGAGGAAGTTGTATCTCCAGTCGAACACCAGGATGTAGAGAATTGGAGCCCCGAATCGATCTTCGATCAAGCTTCGATTAATTTCTAGAATTTCTGAAAACAAAAAATGAATGTTGTCTGAAAACAAAATGAAGTGTTAAATAAAGGTTTGATATGATCTGGTTTGGCGGATCTGGGTCCTTTTTTGTAAGATTTTGACCAAAAAGTGCGTTTTTTGGCTTACCTCACATGTAGATTTAATTGGCGCGTTCAACGTAGCTCTTAGAAAACATTGCGCTTGGTCGGCCAATAATTGGTATCTAAAAATAGTACCAAAGGGGCTAACTTTTGGTTGGTAAGGGGATCGAAGCCCTCGCTATTTTTCCTTTCCCCCCAGCAGACATAAGCATCAATTTCATGTTGTAACGAGGGATTTTACAAGGTTAAATATGAAAAAAGTTTGTTTTTCATTGCCTAATTTAACTGCATGCCAAATTTTGGAACAATTTTGGAACAGAAAAACTGCTAGTGAAAACTCGCAGGCAGGGGGAAAGAAAAAAGCCGAATCCCTGAGGGGGAGGGGCGTCCGACGGTGGTCGAATCATAGATTGCGGGGGGGGGGGTTGTTTCCGACGACTTAATTCTCCTATATCCGCGCCTATACCCGCTCAATATGCAATTTGTGAGTGAAATCTGATTTTTTTGGCAGGATCCGCACTTCATAAGGGATTCTGAACTTTCGTTGCGGAATCCAGTAATATTATCAAAGTTTTGTCAAATCCAGTTTTGTTGTCAAATGGTGACAGGTTTGAGAGTCAAATGGAGCCAACGAAAAGAGCAAAAGAGTTAAAGCTATGGGTTTTAATTAAATTTTTTAAACAAAATTGCAATTTCCTCCAAAATCAATTCTTATTTAGTCTGTGTTGTTGAACTATGTGTGATTAAGAAGATAAAAACTTTGGATTAGGTATGAATTTGGAGATTAGCCAGATAATAGCCCTCTTTATAAAAGTTCTTTTTGGGTTTTTTTTTGGGATCGTTAGTTCTGAAATAAACCTGCTAATTGCGGCAAAAACTGTTGAAATTTTGTTCCAACTTTTGAAGAAAGCGAGGAATATATATGCTTCGGGTGGTTTTTTTCAAACCAATTTCAACAAAAATTGTTTGTTCACTGGGGTGCTCGATCCCTGGTCCTACGCGGGCCAGAGCGGGCGCGCACATCACTATAATATTTACCTGGCTGTCTGGTCAATCTGAAACGATTCTAACTAAACTGTTCGAATATTACTTTGATGCTAAAATATAACGCAAATGATTTACACGCAGGGAATTACCCCGCTCTCCATTCCCCATTTTTCCCCACTACGCTTTAAGCCATAAAAAAAATTGTGCTTGTAAATTGGCGATTTATTTTGTGCTTGTAAAGCGTAAAAGGAAACTTGACTTGTGATAGAAATTGATTTTAATTAAAGTGAGAAATTGTGTTTGGACTATTCAATAATTTGCTATTTGCGAAATATATCAGTTTGTACTTTACATAGCGTAAGGGGGATTGTTTTCAAAACATGTCGAAATTTTTTTGAATAGGTGATTTTTTTGACAACTTCATCATTTTTTTTATATCGAACAGTATTCCATGGTTCTCGAAAGGCGGTCGGAACGTTCAGGGCTTCGCCCTGTTACGAGCAGCTTTTTTGATATTACGAGCTTAAAATTCATGGTTTTTCAGTATTTCATTTAGTAATAACTATTCGAGACCATATAAAGGGTCTCGGAAGATTCAGGGCTTTGTCCTGGTACATTACGAGGCCAAATTGTGCACTGGATAAGCGCACAATTTTGTGTATGTTTGTTCCTGAATTCCAGAGACAGGTATTTGAGTTTGTTAAATTTGTGTTGTAACGATAAAAGGAAATGAAAGAACAAAAGGAGCGACCTTGATGCGAAGTCCGCTTACAATTCACAAAATGCACAGTTTGGCCTCCTAATGTAGGAGCAGTCTTGTTTGTATCTATGATTGCCAATTAAAATGAAAATTTTCTTAAAAGCTTTAAAAGTCTGTTGGTTGTATAATGCTACGGGGTTCCTCTAAAGAGCTGTTGTTTAATTCAAATTTTGATATTCTCAAATGCTGTAAAAAAGACCAGCTCTCAGATTCAATTGACCATACTTTTATTTGTTCCTACTCATAATGACTGGTTGAATATAGTCACAAGATTTGCGGATTTCATTTACAAAATTCGGATTCTACTAGTAAATTGTGGAATCAATTATTTTAGCATCTTTTTCTTGTTGCGGATTGTACGAAAAAAAAAATTTGCCCCAGCAAGTTTCATTACGAAGTATTTAGATTTTGTATTACGTTTAAAATCAAATTTTAATTGAGTTTGAACATGTTCAAAGGCTTGTCTCCGGATTTGAAATTACCTAAAAAATGACTGAAAAAACGTTTTGCGTGTACCTTTGAGGGTGTCCCTGGGTATGAGTGCTTTGGTGTTCCCACTTCCCTCCATCTCGGGTGGGTATCTGACATACAATTGGAACGACACAGCACCCCCTGCTAACTCCCTTTTCTGGGGGTAACGTCCCCACCATAGCACGTCTGTGTAGGATGAATTGCTTAAATAAAAAACTGAATTATGAAATAAATTTGTCCTGATAGAAATCATAAAAATGTCGGAATTGGTTGAATATTAGGTTAAAATATCTTTTTTTTGTAGGATACTTTTGTCAATTTTCCAAATATAACTCGGAAAACGATTAATTCTCATGATTAATTAGAAGTTTGAGCAGTTCGGGCCTTTTTACTTGCCGAAAGGTTATAAGATCTTAATTGATTTATGGACAAGTTTCAGTTGACAAACATCTGCGCTAAAAAAAATCTGCACATTATTACAGCACCCCCTCTCTCCTATAATAAAAGCATTACTGTGACGATATTTTTGGGCTGGGGTTTGGATATAGTGGGGCTCTTTTGTGTGACGAGCCGGGAAATCTACCTTGAAATTCGGGGAAACCTTTGATGTTATTGGTATCTCTTATGTTGCTAAAATAAAAAGATGTAGAAAAAGTGGCTGGCTGGCCAAAATTTCAACTCACATTTTGGAGTCTGATCGATCGCACGAGAACGGATTTTCGTCGCAGAAGTTAGTCACGCTTTCAGCTACCGTTCCTCGTAAATTTAATTTCATTTCACTCGAAACCTGAAACAAAAGGCTTTCAAACATTTTTAAACAGAGTATTTTAAAATTTGAGTATAATTTTTGATTCATGTTTTTATTTGGTGGATTTTTAAACAATACTCACAGATCCGCAAAGCTTGAATATCAGCAGAACTGAGTTCTTATCCCTCTCTTCTGAAACACCATGTTGGTTAAATATTGGGTTTCGTTTTTCGGATGACTAAAGTTTTATATTTTTTTTCAGTAAAAATGTGAACAAAAATAGCCCGAAGCTTTTTTGCGTATTGCAAAAACTACAAACATATTAAACTAGATGATAGGGTTTCAATTTAAGTACATTTTTCTGCAATTGAAATTTCAGCAATAATTGTGACATACTGAAGATGTTTTCAACAGTGTTTTCACCCCAGCCATCAGCAACAGAAGCAGCTCTGATTTCAAAGCTAAGAAAATTAAGACAAATAAGGTAAAAATTTAGGTCAAAAATTTGACAGTAACAAGAATACGATAAAAACATTTTTTTTTTCGTAGAAATAAAAAAACTCAGATAAATAGACTTGAAACGTGTCATGTGAAGATTGAAAAAGCAGCTGTTTTTTTGTGCGAGAAATGATCTATGAAATATTAATTAGCTTTCCTCCAACTGAGCACGTGGGTCATGTTGAATTGTTGTGGTTTGACGCAGAGCGTCTATGTTTTCTAACACTTTCCCCGCAGATACAAAACTGGTGAAACAAAGAAAATAAAATTTCTCAGAAACAAGTTAAAAAAATTGAGTCTGACGTGCGGAAATGAAAGATATTCGAAGTAAATTTTTATCCTACGCACTCAAGCCATCAGTTTTTTTTGTGGTCATTTTTTTATCATGGTTATTGACAAAAAAGTCAAAAACGTTTAAATATTCCAAGACAAAGCAGTCGAGAGGAAAAACAATCCGCATGAAAGTCAGTCAGATGTGTCAGATCAATCGCTACGGTTATTAGAAACGCAGAAAAAATTCATCAATTCAAAATAATCTAGGATCTTTTTAACAATGGCCCCCTTTCAAGAAAGGGATGCAATTGTTAAGTAGATTAAGTTAGTCGAGTTTTCGACCAATCAGAATGCTGCAAAGTTCGAATTTTAAATACAACGCTTTAGAGCTAATTTACAGTTTTTATTAATAGGGCTGGTAATTTTTTATACTAGATAGATACCACAGGGGGGCGGGGGGTAATTGTTAACTAGATCCAAATCCTATTCAACTAAAACTTTGAAAATATTTATTTGAAAGCCAATAAAATTTGATTTTCAATTGTTCAGACGGAGAAAAGTAGCGAGCTTCATATTTAAAAAAAACTAACCGCAAAATTCAACAAAAACAAGGGCACTTTACGGTCAGATCTGAGGTGTATCTAGGATTTTCTCGAGGGGCGAATTTTCAACGAAACTGGACCAAGTTAACATCCTCCCCCCAAACAAGTGGCTAGGGTTGAGGATGTTAACTTGGTTCTAAATTGTTTTTTTTGGTCGACCAAATTGATTTTCTGAGCTTTCCCAAATAACTATAAAGACCCCATTTTTACCACATCATCTGCGCCACAGGCAAACGTTTGAAAAAAAACAGGCCAAAAAGGCAATTTAAGGCACTTTTGCAAAAATTTTTACTATAAAATTGGGTTTTTTCGGCGCGCGCTCCCCCCTAACAATTATTATATCTTGGCACCCAAGGCGCCCTTAGAAAATTTTAGGGTCAGTCAGCCAAAAATGGGTATCTCAAAATAGTACAAAGACATCCCCCTTCTCTCCTAAATCCGCTGGTTCTTGTGAACCTATATCAGACTAGGGTCATTGAATCATTGAAGCGAACAATAAAGTGTCGAGGTAAGTTAGGCAACAACAACTCAGGTAACAGAAGATTTAATAAGAGAGTGAGCCGTCCTGCTGGTGGTCAGTTCTCAGAGTGGGGATTAGAAAGCTCTGAGAACGGCACTGAACTAGAGATGTTTTTTGCATCAAGTCTCATCGGCATGGCTGCCCATGGGAAAGTGTCGTCATTGATGGCTCTGAGGTGAAACGCATTGTGGTCGAGCATCGGGGAGAAACTTGGAAAACCTACTCTAGATGAAACTGCTCGCACTCTAGAAGCATACGATAGGCAAAAACTCGACTTCTGAATTGATGCGAAAGACTCGATCTTTAAAAGAACAGTTTTGTGTGACCTGACTGAGAATGGTCACATCTAACCTGTTCAAGCTACCCTAGCAGTTTTGCGAGCAAACAGGTGTTTTGGACTCCTTGGACGCGATCTCTTACCAACCCAGTATTCGATCATGCGATACATGGGCTCTCAGGGACATTACCGACTGTCAAAAGAAACAATACCAGGTAAAACTGAAACTTGGAGCACAAAGCAAGCAAAATTCCGTTATCAGTAGAAGAGGCAGTAAAAGCAAAGTAACATGGCATGTTAAGGCTGGGAGTCCTTGAGCCAGTGCAGCTCTGGAGAGTTTTCAGTGCATCACCACAAAATTTTGCACGTAGTTGAAATTCTTGGCAATATCAAACTCTCAGATGCTTATCATTAAATCGAACTTGATGATGATGCAAAAGAAGTGTGCACAATCAACCTCCAATAGGGGCTAATCAAGATGTATTTACTAAAACAAGGGATAAAGAAGACTTTCGCAATGTTTCAAAAATGCATCGAGAACACACTCTAATGAAAAAAAAATATTTTCCAAGACGACATGCTTGTCTACGGAACATCACAAGCAATACAAAAAACGTATGACGGCAGTCATTGGACGACTTAGAGAAAAATTTTTAATAATCAATAAGACCAAGTCAAACTCGAAACCACTCACAACTGTTTCAATTTTAGGCTATGACAGGCTTGTTAAAAAGATTGAAAGCACCAAATTATCCGCGAACTACAAAGGACTTCAATCTTTTTGTGGACCGGCAAACTTCTACGGACGAATGATTCAAAACTTTTTCAAAACAATGCTCCCTCTCAAAAATTACGAGGTCAAGACTTTGAGTGGACAGACCAACTCAACACACGCTTTCAGAGTATCAAACAAGAACACTGATCGAAACCAGCCGTTCAAATCTACTCCCTGAAAAACAAATGACTGTGACAGATGACGATGCTTCAGAGCAAGCAAATGGCGGGGTTCTCTCACAGGAGCGACATCCAGTTGTATACGTTTTAAGGAAGCTATCATCAGCTGAGCTCAACTTCTCCAAGACAGAAGGAGAAGCTTAGGCAATCGTGTTTGTGTTCATACGACAAAAAAACGAGATCTTACTGGGGCGCAAGTGGACTCTAAATAGAAATCACAAATTCTTGCAGTACCTCGTCGGGTTAGACGGAGATGCACCGAAAACAGCATCAGCTGTACCGAAAACAGCACCGAAAACAGCACCGAAAACAGCACCGAAAACAGCACCGAAAACTCAACTACTGCAAGACAGAAGGACAAGCTTGGGCAATCGTGTTTGTGTTCATACGGCAAAAAAAGATCTTACTGGGGCGCAGATGGACTCTAAAAACAAATCACAAGTCCTTGCAGTACCTCTTCGGGTTAGACGGAGATGTACCGAAAACAGCATCAGCTAGAAAAACCAGATAGGCTACTGCAACGATGCGATTCGACTACAAGTTCAAATATGTGCCAGGAGACCAGATTCCACATACGGACGCTCTGAGTAGGCTGCATTTCAACGAGATACAAAAAGAGGAAAAAGTCTGTTTTAATCAGAATGAGATCTTCTTCGCAGAGACGCAGACAATCAAGCTGAACGACATCGAAAACGACCTTAAATCGAATCGATTTATTCAAGAGGTCTTCAAGCGGATACAAAACAGTGATTAGAGACAATGCTCAGAAGCTGAATCAGACCTTAAGAAGGAAGCCGAGACCTTGAAAATTCGAGAAGGCATCATCTATAGGGGCGTTGTACCTCGAGATAAAGAAAAAAAATGTGGACGATGCCCACAAGACGCATCCAGGAAAACAGGCAATAGAAAAGGTTCTGAGAATGGTTGTCTGTTGGGCTAGCATATCGCAAGACGTAGAATGACTTGTCTCAAGTTGCGACTTCTGTCAAAAAATCAGACCATCGCTTGGGAAAACAGTTTCCAAGTGGCCAGAAGCAGACAAATGGGAGCGAATCCAAAGGACTGGGCCCACATCAAAAAGCAAGGAAAAATAAATTTGTTAGTGATGCAGAAAGTGGCTGGATTGAAGCATTCCCGACCAATGACAGAACTACTTTAACTCTCAGGAAATGTCGTTCAGCAGTCTTTGCGAGATTTGGAGTACCTAAAACTCTAGTCTCTGACAACGGACTCGAACTTGTGAGCAATGACTTCGAAACATGGTGCAGGTATCAGAAAAATCACAAAATGGAATCCCCGATCTACCACCCAAGAGCAAATGGACAAGCAGAAAGAGCAGTCCAGACGGTTAAACTTGCCAAAAAGGCATGGGGAAAACATTCATCTGTCATTTTTTGCGTTTTTCCAACGAGTACTAATGGCGCATGGAAAAACGGGAAAATACCATGGCAAGGGGAAAATACCATGAGAACTTGTTCTTGAACGAAAAATCAGATCAACTACCATCGTAGATTTTGACGTATGAGAACAAATTCTCTTCAGGCCGAACAAAATACGGAAACACAACCTGCAATTTTCATCATTTGATGTGGAATCAACACATCGTGGATTCAACCCAAACGATCAGAACGTACTGTTCTTGTAAGCGACAAGCAAATTGCGAGATTCAGTCAAGAGACCAATACCACAGATGGAACGAGTGACATTGTCGTTATTGAAATCCAGTGCACTATGAAAATGAATAACAACCAGACGATCAATCTGAACCGGTCTCAGACGAACCTTATTGATCTTCAAGATTCCGGAAACCAACGAAACACTACGGAGATCCTATACCGACAGACCTTCTTAGAAAAAGAGGGAAGATGTGATGGTCTGAGAAGTCGTCCAATTTGAAGTGCTATGCAACTCATTTGCATGGGACGATGCAGACGCAAAAGTAAAATGCTACTCATTTCTATGCCTAGTAACAGAGGAACAGCGACAGGTACAAAGAAACGAGCGGGATTAGAAATACAAGCTACGACGACAAAACACCGAATGCGAGTACTAGAAGATATTTTCATTAGTGAAAGGATCATCGCACTTGAGATATATAACAGTATTTTTTGTAAGCAATAGAAGAATAAATCACTGGAGCAATTTGATGCAGAATTGGTAGAGCTTGCTTCACCAGCAGACTGCGGGGATATAGAAGACGAATTGGTAATACATATGTTTGGCGCAAACTTGCACAACGAAAAAACAGCAGAGCAACTTTTGGGAGAAGCACGATCTCCACAAGACGCATACAAAAATGCGATCCGCCGCGATAAGGAATTGAACATAGTCGAACCTTGAAAACGATTCCCTTCGGGCCGTCAACAACAACTAAAGTTAAACAAAAACCAATGGGTTTTATCCAACCTTGATGTTGGGGCCTACAATCTAACTATCAAAACAATTCAAAACAAGGAAGAAACCAAAAAGGACGACGAAATAACAGCCA